GAGAGTGCAATGTGTTTTATGTAAACCCCAATAAAATAGCAGTGTGGGAGTTTTATAAAAATGTTGAGCTTTGCAGGTATGATCTTAATATGGTAGATGGCATATGGTATTTGCAACCTGAAAGAACATTAGAGGATGGCTTAATGCAAATTGTTAATGATAACTCTGTGAGAGAGGTGCTGGAAATTATATAAAGGTTATCATTGTTATCCACATTTATGTACTTCATGTCCCTAACTTTGCATTTGTTGAGCCAATGCTTCCTTTACTATCTCTTTGGGATGATCAGAGGGAGGAAAATGATAATGTAGTTGACAATTTCCAACCTAATGTTAGTGAGGATGGTGTTGGTGTTGAAACTTTTGATGAGGTTGTTGCTAGTGTTATTGAGGAAAGGGTTGGTGTTGAAGCTCATGATGGGGCTGTTGCAAGTGATGGTGGTAATTTAGATAATGAAGGTGTCAGTGTTAAATCTGATGATGGTGAAGAAGATCATATTATTGATATTCTTAAGTTAACAAACAATGATATAAAGAGACACTGTAAGCTAGTAAGAGTATAAGGTTTTTCAGCAACATACAGAGGAGTATTGACAAAAAGAGTTAGAACCACTAATAGTGCATGTAAACTATTCTTGCGCACATATTGCAAGTTTTTTTTTTTTTATTTGAAGTAACTTGAATGAGTTTTGAATTTTTGACTATGTGACTTTTTTAATGGAGAATATATATTGTGTGGCAGATTCTAGTACTGCTGCACATGGTACACAACATGTAAATGAGGATGATGAGATAGAGAGTGATGAAGAAGATAGATATATCTCAACATTGAACGAGAAAGGAGTAAAGTCAAACATGGTAGAAAGAGAAGGGCTACACATAGGGTTTACCAAGATTCGAGAGATGATGGGACTCTTGACATTAGACTAGGGATATTTTTACCAGTAAGCAACAATTTAGGGCTACTGTTGATAAATGGAACCTCAAGGATAGAAGATATAGAAAATGGAGAAAAGATGACGAGCTAAGATGTAGGGCAGCATGTTTGAAGGCACCAAATTATCCATGGCAAATTTTTTTGGCAATGGGCAAACCAATAGAATCCTAGATGGTGAAATTATTTATGTTTGAGCACACATGTGCTGGGTGGTTAAAGAACAACAAGCGATGTAGCTCAACTGTGGTTGCTAAGCCCTTGGTCAAGCAAAAAGGGTTTATTGCCTTGTATTTGAAGCAAAATGACATTTCTAAGGTTATTAGGAAAGAGTTGGTTAGGTAGTTGTTTGAATTATTTGTTAAATATATTTACTCATTGTGAACATGTGATTTCAAGGATTGATTCATGCAATTGAAGATTGATTTCTAGATGCTAAGCATAGAACATGTGCCAGACACAAATATGCCAACTTTCGAAAGAATAATGGGGGAAAGCAATTGAAGATAGCGTTCTAAAGATGTGTTAAGGCTAACATTGAATCTCATTCAACAAGGCATTAGTTGAGCTAAAACGCATTAAACCAAGTGCAGTCCTTACGATCATGAACACACACCTTAGGTTTTGGTCAAAGGCCTTCTTCAAAGAAGCCAACAAGTGTGATGTAGTTGATAACATGTGCGAGGTTGTCAATGGTTTGATATTGGAAGCAAGGCATAAGGCCATATTCTCTATGATGGAAGACTTGAGGGCAATGTGTGGTAAGAGGACAGTGGTTAGACAGGAATATGAAATTGCAAATTTGTTAAGAATTTTGGTCCCAAAATTTGGGCAAAAATTGTTGTTGTTAGAGCAAGTAGTAGGAGAGGCACACTTTTATGGCCTGGTGGTGAAAGGTATGAGGTATATGATAATAGGGAGGCAACTTATATTGTTAATATTGAGAGAGACATGCACTTGTAGAGTGTGGAACTTAATTGGAATACCTTATAGGCATGCGGTTATTGTGATCAATTATAGAGAAGAGAATGATGAAGACTATGTAGCACACTGGTTCAACAAGCATATGTTTATGGCAAGTTATGAAAATGAAGTTCCAGTCATAGAAGGAATGCACCAATGGAAGGAAACTAGAATGCCACCGATGGACCCACCAATTCCAAGAAAGATGCCTAACAGACATAAGAAGAAAAGACTTTTGGAAGAATGGGAAGGGAAAACAAAAGTTGGCAGAAAAGGGAGGCTAATGACATATCAAATATGCATTAAAAAGGGCACAACTCAAATCATGTAAAGGAGTTCCACCAAACATAGTAAGTGAAATTTTTAGTTAATTTATGGTAAATTTTCAATGTGTTTTATACATTAATTTGTTTCTATGTATGTATTCGTAGCAAGAACAAAATGTTGACCAAGTGAATCCCCAAGAAACGCAACCTTAACCTCAACCTCAACTTGTTGATAAAAACAATGGAGTTCATGTGGAAAATCCCATGAACCAAGTGAAGGATCCTTTGAGTCAAGTTCTTAATGAGGCACCTACACCAAAAATCAATAAGCAAAAAGCAACGAGAAAAAAAAGGGATGGTAAGCTTATAAACTAATTAATTTTGCAGTTTAATGTATGTTAAATATACTAACAAACATAAATTGATTATTTAGGGTGAAGGAAGTTCAAAAAATGAATAGCAAAAGAAGCGTGCTACAAAAGACCATGGAACAACAACCACAGCACCCCCAACTTGAGATTGATGGAGACTGTTTTTGGTGTTTCTTTAGGTTGAATGTGAAAGAGGGTTACCATATTTTTTTTTTAGGCGTTATAATTTCTATATAACAATTATGGTAGGTTAATTAAGTTTTAGGATTAATGTGCAGTCTATTTTGATATTTTGTGCTTAGATTTTATTTGCAAAATTTGATTTTTTTTTTTGTATATATATGAGACTGCATTTATGTAAGTATTGCTATTTTGGAATGGCATGCACTTTGTGTAAATGTTTATTTTTTAAAATGTAACTGCATTAACATAGGCTATTTATAACAAATTTTAAAGCTCAAAATATTTTATATTATTAGGCAAAAAAGAACATCACACTTAGTTCGAGCAAAAACAAAAACCAATGTAGGCCAATTTTAAACTGAATAATCTAGATTCTAATGCAACCTCATTAAGGTAATAAACATACCAATAGTAGATACAACACTTAGTGTGCAAAACACACACAAAATGATAGAAACTTTTTCTAATCTTATGTAAAATTTCTCATTTCTTTTCACTTTCGTTTCCAACTTCTTAATCTTCTTCACTAGTGATTCAGATTTAGTTATTAAGAGCCTATTCTCATGGAGCAGTTTCCCATTTTCCACTAGCAATGCAGTAGTTTCCCTCATCAAATCATCATTTCCCTTGATCAGATCAACCTTTTCCTTCAGTAAATCATGATTTCCCTTGATCAAATCAACATTTTCCTTTTTCAACCTTTCATTCTCCAACTAAAATAGAAGCTGCTTATCTTTTAACCTCAGTAACAGATCCCTTGCTCTACCCTTAATCACCTCATCACCTGAGATAAAATGGAAGAACTTGCAAACCTTTCCAATCTAAACAACACAAAAGTGGGAAAACTTTTTGCTTCTCAAACTGCACTAAACTAAAGAAATCAAATTCAAATTCAAATTAAAGAACAGCAACCTTACCATGAAATTTGGGCATCCTCAAAACCTCTTTCCCATGTTGCGGAATGTTAGTGCTATACTCAATACAGGTGTTAAAGCACAATCGCATTTCGCATCTATCATTTGACAACCATTATCACTCACACCGACACCAATCGAAGAAATAGATACCGAGTCAACAACTTCCATTACCTGAAATCCCTCAAGACCCACTTGAAAAATAGACAAAAGAGTTGATTTCGAAAGTGTTAATCTCGGGATCAAATAAAAGAAGCAAATATTTGTTAATTTCCAACACTCTGTTCTTTTAGGGTTTCAAGGAAAGAAGGGTTTCGTTCATTTAGGGTTTTGAAATGGAGAAAAGCAAGACATCTATGATGTTGGAGACTCCATTGTTCTTCGATTTCTACCTCATTCACTCATCAACTCGAAGATTCAAAAGTGAAAGATCATAAATTTACCAACAAAAAGAGGATAGAAAAAAGGGAATCTCGACTTTTTTGTAGGGAGGGTTTGAAATGGAAGAGCTCTATTGTTCCAAGGTTCAAATAGGGACAAAAGGGGAGAAGTGTTCAGCTTATGCAGGCGGTAGGCCACATTTTTTTTAATGGAAGGATCAAGTTGGGGTCAAAATAGTAAACAGTAAGGACCAAATCAGAGATTTATTTAGTTAAGGGACCAAATTAGGGGTCCATATAATAGTTGAGGGACCAAAATGGGAGTTTAACTTTTTTTTTCTTTATCAAGTCTTAAAATTTTTTCATCTTCATGGCTCCCCTTCGAGATAAATTCCTATCACATAAAATTAAAATACATTAGAACTCATAAAAATGTAATTTTTAAATATTGTAAATTTTTAATTTATTATATAAATTATATATATAATTTTTTATAAAAATTTGAGTTATAATAAATGCATACAAATTTTATCATATGATGAAATTTTAAGGTTGAGGAGCAAAAAGAAAAAAGATAAATTCTTTCAACCAATCATAATAAACATGCTAAAGGTAGAGAAAAAAAAACCCAAAAGAGATATTTTTTGGCAAAAAATAAAAAGAAAATTAATTTGGTAACTTCTGAAGTGGTCTAATTATGGAGATTATAGAAGATTTAGGGGTGTTTGTTTGCCTTTTTACAAATTATTGGCTCTAATAAAATAAATTAAATATTTTAAATTATAAATAAAAATAATTATTAATTATAAAATATTAATTATCAATTA